AAAATTTTTTTTTTTTTTTTTTTTTTTTTTTTAAGAGAGAAGAAGGGGGGCAAGGAGAGAGAGAGAATCATCGATGTGAGAGACACATCCATCAGTTGCCTACCGTACACACCCCTCCTGGAATTGACCCTGTCACCTGGATGTGTGCCCTGACCTGGAATTGAACCTGCAACCTTTTGATGTATGGGACAGTACTCCAGCCAACTGAGCAACCTGGCCAGGGATTTGCTCTAAATATTATTATTTCTTTTCCTTTACTTAATTTGATTTAATTTGCTCTTCATTTTCTAGCTCCTTAAGGCGAAAGCTTAGATTATTGATTTTAGATCTTTTCTCTCTTCTAACAAATGCATTCAATGCTATACAGTTCCCTTTAAGCACTACTTTTCCTGCATCACACAAATTTTAATAAGTTAAAAATTTCAATCCATTTTCCTTTAATTCAAAGTTTTAAAAATTTCTCTGGCATTTCTTTTTTGTTCCTTTTGTTATTCAAAAGTGTGCTGTTTATTTGGGTCCTCTTTTTTTCTTTATGAGTCTGGTTAAAGTTTTGTCAATCTTGTTTATCTTTTTAAAGAACCACCTCTTGGTTTCATTGATCTTTTGTATTTTTTATTAGACTATTTCATTTATTTCTGCTCTGATCTTTATTATTTGCTTTTTTCTTCTCAAGTTTGGACTTTGTTTGTTATTCCTTTTCAAGTTTCTTTAAGTGTAAAGTTAGATTGTTTATTTGAGATTTTTCTTGTTTCTTGAGATAGCCCTATAATGCTATGACTATCCTTCTTAGGACTGCTTTCACTGTGTCTCATAGATTTTGAGTTATTCTCATTTTCATTTGTTTCATGGTATCTTTTGATTTCTTCCTTGATTTCATTGTTAACTCATTTATTGTTTAATAACATGTTATTTAGCCTCCATGTCTTTTTTGTGTGTTTTTCAGTTTTTTTCTTGTGATTGATTTCTAGTTTTATACCATTATGGTCAGAGAAGTTGCTTGATATGATTTTAGTCTTCTTAAATTTACTGAGACTTGTTTTGTATCTTAACGTGATCTGTCCTAGAAAATGTTCCATGTGCACTTGAAAAGAATGTATATTCTGTTGCTTTGGGGTAAAATGCTCTGAAGGTATCAATTAAATCCATCTGATCTAGTGTGTCATTTAAGGTCACTGTTTCCTTGCTGATTTCCTGTCTGGAAGATCTATCAATTGATGTCAATTGGATGTTAAAATCCTCTACTATGACTGTATTACTGTCAATCCCTCCTTTATGTCCATCAATATTTGATTTATATGTTTAGATACTCCTGTGATAAATGATGTTGGGGAAAATGGACAGATAATATGAAAAATAAATGAAATTAGCTCACCTTCTTACACCATACACAGAGTAAACTCAAAATGGATTAAAGATAAATGTAAGACTCAAAACCATAAAAATCCTAGAAGAAAACATAGGCAGTAAAATCTTGTAGCAGTATTTTTTCTGATATATCTCCTCGGGCAAGGGATACAAAAGTAAAAATAAACTAATGGGACTACATCAAACTAAAAAGGGTATTGCACAGCAAAGGAAACCATCAACAAAATGAAAAGACAACCCACTGAATGGAAGAAAATATTTACCAATGATACATCTGATAAGGGTTAATATCCAAAATTTATAAAGAACTTATAACACTCAACACCAAAGAACAAACAATCCAATTGAAAAATGGGCAGCCCAGCTGGCATGGCTCAGCAGTTGAGGATCAACCTATGATCCAGGGTATCGCCGTTTGATTCCAGGTCAGGGCACATGCCCAGGTTTCGGGCTCGATTCCCAGTAGGGGGCATGCAGGAGGCAGCCAATCAATGACTCTCATCATTGATGTTTCTATCTCGCTCTCTCTCCCTCTCCCTTCCTCTCTCTGAAATCAATAAAGACATCTTTTTTAAAAACATGGGCAAAGGACCTGAATAGACACTTCTCCAAATAGGACATACAGATGGCCAAGAGACATATGAAAAGATGCTCAACATCACTAATTATTAGAGAAATGCAAATTAAAACTACAATGAGATATTACCTCAGACCTGTCAGAATGGC